TGTGTGTGTGTGTGTGTGTGTGTGTGTGTATATATGTGTGTGTGTATATATATATATAGGTATCAATTGAACACAATGTTTTATTGATATATTTACAATTTTTAAACAATTTGGAAGCCTATCAGTGCCTCAATCACTATAATAAAATAAATTCTGAATACCTATACATTTTGGTATTTGATTTTGAGTCTTTTAGCATGGAAAAACAGAGCTCCCCCTGCCCCCTTAGCTCACAGAACACAGGTCCAGGGCCCTCACTCCCGAGCCGCAGCCCCTCAACCCTGTTGGTGCTTCTAGCTCCTCCCCACAGCAACCCTGGCCCTGCTGGTGCCTCTGGTCTGCAGCTCCCTGCCCCCTGCAGCAGCACGTGAGCCCCGGCTGCTGCCCGTGGGAGATGGCAACTGCTGAAAACATAGCAGAGCACAAAGCCCAGCTCTCCCCGCTCCCCGGCCTCCCCCTACGGGCAGCATGGCTAGAGCAAACCCTGTGTGGGGTGGGGGCAGGCTGCATGCTGTGGACTTGGGCTCCCTGCCCTGCTGCCCTCCCCTGGGGCCTCTGCAGCCCAGTGGGTAGGACCCAGTATGGCAGGGCAAACTGGGACCAGGTGGGGAAGCTTCTTGCCACTGCAAGCCCTGTGTCATCCTGGCGAGGCGTCCCCTGCCCACCCAGCAGCAGTGGAGGTAGTGGCACAGGGTTGTGCAGGCAGGGGGCACCTTGCCAGGGCAGTGTGGAGCTCTCAGTGGCAAGGAACTTCCCCATCTGGCCCTGCTGTGCTCTGCCGGGTCCCACCCACTGGGTTGTAGAGGCCCTGGGGGAGGGCAGCAGGGTGGGGAGCCTGAACCCGAAGCAAACAGCCTGCACCCCTCCCCCCCTGCACACAGTTCTGGGGGGCACGGGTCCCTCCTGGCCCTCCAGGAGTGCACGCAGTGGTGGGGACCCGGCCCCACCCTCCCCATTCCCCAGATGAGATACCCACAGCCCCATCCTCCTCCCTGCCGGAGCCCTGTGGCTGCACGGTCCAGCCCAGGGCCCTAAGCCCCTCTGTGCCTGGCTGGGCAGCAGGCCCAGTCCTGCCCAACTTCCTCCTTCCCTCCCCTCCCTCTCTCTCTATTGGAGCCTCAATCCCTGCTCCCCCCTCTGCGCCTCCAGACTTGCCTATGGGAGCTGCTTTCCAGGCTGCTTGGTGACCATGTGCATATGATGCCCTCTACCTCACCACTGTCCTCCTGCTCCCCCAAGCCCCTTGCAGGCTTGAACTCTACCAGCCTGCAGAGAGCTCTTTGCAAAAATGCAAAATTTGTATTTCTCCGTTAAAATGAAAAATCTGCATTTTTCCTCAGGTAAAAGGGGAAAGCCACAGTTTTCCCCTTTTTTTCTGTGGAAAACAGAAAACCCAGATCCCTGGTTATCAAAGTTTAAAATGTGATCTCAGGACTTTGTCCATACACTTGCAAGGTCTAGGGATATTAGATGAAGCACTGACAAGAAACAAATGGAAAAGGAGAGATCTCTTGTATTACTGGTTGGCAACCCTTTGATTAACCCAAGTGAGGAAAAGCTATGATGCAAGGGATTTTGAAGTTAAATAAAAGAGAATTAAGTTGTTTCAGAAGAGCCCTTGCCAAAGACTGGGATAAAAAAACCTTTATCATAAAGTCAGCAGTAATTAAGGATTTCAAAGGCTAGTTTTAATTACCATTCTCATTTTCTTGATCTTTGAATGTTCATAAATCTCAACTGGCAGATAGCATTATTTTGTACCTACGCAACATTGAGTTTGTAGGTACATCAGGGCAGCTCAAGAATAAGGTTGGTCTCAGTCTAGAATGTCCATCTCTTGTTGAATTATCTCACCCTAAAGGTTTTATATTTCTCAAATGTTTTAAAATTAATTAGAGAGCTCATCATGTTATCAAGTAAAACACTTGACTGAATAAATGGAATTTGCTGTAGAATAATTTGAACTAAAAGGGCTTTCATTCTGTCTGTAGAGCGGCAGATTGATAAAAAAATGTTGGGGGATTTACAGGTTTTAAATGAATGAAAAACTGTTTTGAAATAAAGTATTGTTACAGGGAACATTCCAGTTCAGTCCCATTAAGTTTCCATCAGTTGCAAGTGTTTTCTTGATCTCTTCTGTACGTCCCCTGTGAGAGCCACAGTCCCTCATATACTTCTCAAGAGTAGTTTGTTTATTAGGGTATTCCAGTCTTTCAGGTTTCTTAAACACTAAGGTACTTGCTTTCCAGAACACCTAACTTTCTTACCCGTTGATATCTGTTTTTCCCCAGTTGTATTTTCTCTCTCTCTCTCTCTCAAATGTCATTCAGTCAGTAAAACATAATCTTCAGATGAGGGCAATTCTAATTTGACAGATTTTCATCAAAAGGCTGGCAAAGAACAGAGATACAAGTCATTTCTTGCTTTATAGAGTAACTGAATAGGAAAACCAGATAATTCAGCTTTATCTAACAGGGAAAATCAGAAGAACCCAAGTAGATAGAGAATGTCACCACTAATACCACTAGCTAATAAAAGTGCAAACTACAAAAAATCAAAAATAATTATTGTGCTTTGCTCTTTCATATTAGCACAAATTTAATCAACACTTATTGTATCCAGTGTAATTGTGGAATAAACTCTCTGCAGCCTTTTCGTATGGTAAATATAACAGTGCGAAGTATATGAATTTTTAATACATTTTTTCAAAATCTTGTGAAAACCTGGTTGGCTATGAAAATTTAGAAGCAAAAACTTGAAGCCATAAGCAAATTAACTTGAACAAGGGGAAATATCTTTTGTATACAATCCAGACATGCTTTCAGAGTTCAGGATGAATTCCTGAATTTATACTTTGGTACCTGGAAGTAATGCTTTACATTGAGCATAAATGTGCATGAGGAATGACACTGGAGTTTTTTCTCAGGATGAGAGCTACCCCAGAGCTTCTCTTCCTGGAACACTTGCTAAAGTCAGAAATGCATGGGACAGGCTTATACATTGTTAGGCTGTGTTTTGCACTGCTTGGATCTGTATGTAAGGTTTGTGAATCTGGAAGAAATCAGCTTGAAAAGAGCCTTTAATTATTGCGGTATCTGATAAATTTAATGAGAAGAGATGGTCCAAAGTCTTGCAAACAGCTTAGTCTTCGTACAGACATTCAGTTTGTCCTGGAAGAGTTGCTACTTTCCCAGAAAAGCCATGAGTGTACAGATGGTTAGGCTTTTTGCCTCCAGAGTAAAAATGGCTGCTCCAGGAGAAAAATAACCTGGGAACAACCAGAGTTGAATCACTCCTGGAAGAGTTTCTCCTGGCAAATTGAATGTACGTGCCGTGGCTTCTCTCAAAAGACAACCTAGTCCTCCAGCATCCCCCTGCCCTCCCTGGGAGACAGTGTCTATCACTCACTGGACTCCACTGCTCCATCAGGGAGCAGAACACACCTGCCTCACAATCCCCACATTGTACTGCAGGGAAACACAGACTGATCCTGGGTTCGTCAGTCAGAGGTGCTCTTTGCACTGCTGCCATTTTGTCACCAGGCAGACTAAGGGGGGACCTACAGAACAGGCTGAGATGGGTGCACAGGCCCTCGCTACCTTCCCCCTGCCCCGTCTGCACAGTGTCAGTACTGCAAGGTCTCCACTCTTCAGGGCCTCAGCATTCAAATGTTTCTACACTCAGCTCTGGGTAAGTTTCTCTACCAACAGAACAAACCTGGGAGAAGTCTCCCAGTTTATTTGAAAGTGTGTATGCAGCCTTAGTCTCCTGCACCATACAAGTTTCTACCATTTAGGTCCATGTTCTGGGGGCTAGGGAAGCTAGGATAGGTAACCTAGGATTCATTTAAGTGCCTGTCTCTGTCAGTCTTTGCTGAGAGTTAGTGTACTTCTGAGTTTACTGGTACTGTTTGCAGTAGTGTTCAAATGTGCACCTTTTGGATTACATAGTGATTTCCTTAGAAACTTTTGAAAGGGATTGAGAGTATTAGTTTGGGGTTTGTTTTAAAGAAAGGAAGTTGTGTTAGGTTGTTCAGAGTTTTTTTTTGCAATCCTGGTTGCAGCAAGAAGTCTGTCTGCACTCCCTATTTATCACCTTTTCCCCTCATTGTCCTTTTTATTTTCTTCCTTTTGATCTGGAAATTATTTGACCCTCACTTTGTACATTTCTTTGTATTTCGGTGTTTATAGTTCACTATAAATTTAGACTTAGAATACTCAACAAATGAACCCCAGAGAAATGGCTGTTCTGTTTTTCTCTCAATTGTGTTTAAAAGGAGGTCACAACAGTGGTGGCCAGCATTCATATTCAGACTCATTTTGCTTGCTTTCAAGATCATAATTAAAGAGTAATCTCATTGTCTGTTTCTAATTCATATTAACTTTTCCTTGTTCCAATCATTTGTTTTGGTAAGTAACTGTAGAGGCATCTCTTTCCTACCCCTCCTCCCCCAAATGCTATTGGGTAGTGGACTAACTAGTTGAAGTTTGAGGTGATCTGTTCCCTAACCCATCCTGTAAATATCGATGCTAACAACAGTGTCTTGTGTTTTTTTTTTCTTTTGTTTTTTTTTTATCAATGTGCTTCTTCCTGTGTGAATAATTATATGTCTAGAAACAGCCATGGAGTGATTTTGCTGTACTGAATGGGGGAAAGATTAATAGTGACATTTGGAAGGCAAGTATATTGTCAGATTCTAGAATATTTAATACTGTTACCCTTGTTTTTGCATGGCAGTGGCTGTATTTTTTCCACGAATGTCATTCATAACATAGGCCAAAGTAAATGGGGGTATGGCTAGGGATGTCTAGCTCACAAACATGCTGCCTATTTCTGATCTTTCCAGTTGGAATGGGTTCAGTCTAAATCAGCAGGGCAAATGTGTTGATGTAAGAATAAGATGCCTGCACTGAATGAAATATAATTTGAAAAATATATGCATGCTTTTATTCAACTTTACCCAGAAACACTATCCGCTTCTTTGCAGGGAGGATTTTATTTCCCTTTGAAATTAGAAATTATTTGGTGGAGTTGCATGCCTAATCTTGTATTAATAATGGCATGTTTATCTCTAGGACCTACATGCAGCCACTGTGAATCCAGACCCCAGTCTAAAAGAATTTGAAGGAGCAACATTACGTTATGCATCTTTAAAGCTCAGGTATGATGATTTTAAAAATCTCCATAGATTGGCAGCTTGAAAATGTTTGTGCTGTGCCGTAGGTTATACTTGACTATAAACCAAACCCAATTTTATATTTTCATAACAGAAATGTTCCACAGTCTGATGAAGATGATTCCTGCAGCATCAACAGTGATCCGGAAGCCAAGGTCTGTAAGAAACTATACAAGTGAGACAGGAATTAACATTGTAATTGTAAACAGTTATAAAGTCCGCTATGTTTTGGAATTAAATAGCTCTCTCAAGATGATGTAATTATAAATGGTAGTATTTTGGCATAATGTACAGGAATTTTAACCGTATGATTCACAATTTCAGTGGAAGTGGTGGGTTTTAATCCTCATTCAAATTGTCAGAGAAATCTGTCCTTAAAGTGGTGCCTCCTTAGACATAATAATTGGTGCTGTTTGTAGCACAATTTGTTTCATACCTTGAATATCTTGTTACTGCTTTAGGCAGTATATCTATGCTGTGACAAATTAAGGAGTGAATGTTAGCTATAAGTCTGAACTTCTTTCCTTATGAGTATTTAATTGGAGCCTCTGTTACTGAAGCATAGTTTTGTTTGTTTCTGAAAATGTTTGCATTTATCTTTACATATATCATCACTTACTTTATTGACTCTTCTTTTCAGGGCATTTAAACTTTTTCTGTCTTTATGCTTATTAATCTTATGTTGTAGTATAGTTGTGTATTTCAGATTAGCAGACTGATATTTTTTGAACGCTTGCTTTTTATACTAAGAGGTGGTAATCATGATGTCTGCAGGTAAATGGCAAGTACAGTTTAGCAGGATGGATAGCTGTTGCAGTGAAGGGAAACATTTTATAGTGGTCTACCCACATCAGCCAAGAAGCTTATTTTTTTAATGCATCCTTCATTAGGGAAAATGTGATGTCAGACAAATATTCAGACAAGTCTGATTCTGCAACTGCTGCTATGCAGCAGTTAGTATTAAAAGCTTGTTCTATAGGGAAGCCTTTGTCAGTATTGTTGCCACAGTGATCTTTACATCATCTTTCCTTGCTTATAAGTCTGTCTGCTTAGAGTATAGACACATTAGTCATTTTCACTGCTTAATCTGCCTTTATGCCTTCATAAATGTGGAGTGAGTACATGAGGTACAGTCTGACACTAGTAAAAATCACTCCAGTCTGTAGTAAAGTTACACCTCAAAGTCGAGAATAAGTATATGCAGGTGTAACTTACACAGGTATATGAGTCCTGTGCCTGAAGCCTTATTCAGTTTCATCCCAGGGAGTAGAGAGGTTGGTTAGCTATGCGTGTCTGAAATCAGGCAGAAGGCAGTTCATTCGGAGGGGCATAAGCTTTCATATGTGACAGCCTACTTTAACAGTTGCTGTCACCTATGAAAGCTTTATGCCTTCCTGAACAAGTTACTCTCTAAGTAGATGTAACATTTATGTTGTCATGACTGAGTTAATTGTTCCATAAAAGGTAACATTGTTTGTGTTTAGCTAATTTATAGTGTGATAAAATGGCAAACCAGCCACAAATTTATTCTACTACTGTTGTGGAATATCTAAGTACCTGATTTGTATCATGCCTGAAATTGAATGTGTGGCACGTATCCCAGATACAGGGCTGCTCATGCCTCATCCCAATGCAATTGGTTGGAGTATGGGGGTTCAAAGTTTCCGCAGTGTGGGAGCCTGTTGGCTACCTGCACTCAGGGACATTTTAAAGCATGTAGAGCAGCTGATGCCATGATTAAGACAGCTGGGTGGTAGGGAGCCCCTGATCACACCCTGGCAGCTGCATGCTGGGATATGACTTTTTATCCCTGATATCTAGATAATTGCTTGTCCTGTTGTCTATGTCTCGCATAGCAAGAGGTATGATTTTTAGGATCAGGTATAAAATTCCTCAGATCCCAGTTGCACTATCATATTAATGTATGCCAGTAGCTTGAGGTGCCCCCTGCCCTGCCTTATCCCAGAATAGTCATTTACTTAAAGCAAATAAGCCATTACTGTACTTGTTCCCCTGCCACCTAGTGGTCAGGTGCTGTAATAGTGCCTCTGGGTGGTTGTCTGTATTTACATCACTGTAACTGTATTGTGTGTTCACATATTCAGGTTTCTGATCTCCTTCCTACAGAATGTGCACTCTGTTAGCTCTATAGCTCAAGAGAAGAGTGTGCAGTAATCTTGGAAGTTCATTGTTCAAACCCGGCTAATGATGGAGTTTCATTATAGTTGTATATAATAACATTTGTTTAGAGTTTATGTAATCTAGAGAAGGGAAGACTGGGGAGATATTTATATATGTAAAATTTTGCTACAATAAGAAAAACAACAAGTTATTCTTTCCTATCCTCAGTCAATACAGAGAAGTAATTGGCTTCAGTTGCAGCAAAGTAAATTTATGTTAGACACTTTGAGAAACTGTAAGACTGTAAACATAGATAAAATACCATAGAAAATAGGGATGGTGGGGACCTCGAGAGGACAACTAGTTCATTCCCTGTGCCTCAAGGCAGGGTCAACTATAACTAAGCCATTACTGATGCGTATTGGTCTAACCTACAATGCTGCTTCAGGTAATCTATCAGTGAAGCATTGAGTACACTGGTGGCCCTCTATAAATTATTATTTGAGCACTGAATATGCAGTAGTCATAAATGGACTAAGATGGTAATATGAAGAAAAACAAGCTTACTGTATTTTTTTTTTCTGTTGGACTTACTGTAGTTAAAGTTCATTATCTGGTTTCTTGAGCCATTATAATGTAATAATTAGGGGTGCTGATAGAGGTTTTGGGGGCCGATACCGATAGCCAATATTTAAGGAGGCATATCAGCCAATATTGTTCCGATATCAGATACGGCTGCCTCCAGGTAGTAAGTCCATTGTGGTGGAAGAGGATGGGGGAGGGAAGGGGCATGGGGAGGCAGATCAATGCCTCCTATGATGAGGGAGGGGGCAGGGGCGGGGGAGCATGGGATGGAGGCACGGCTTGTGGGGGGGGGGTGGCTCCCCGCCAGGAGGGCATGGGCGGGGGGAGCTTATATCCCTGGATCTGCACGTTGTGGGCGGCAGCTGCAGGGCAGAGCCAGAGCAGGTGCTGTGCGGGGCTTTTCTTGCCAGGGGCTGGGCTCAGAGTGGGCTTTGGCAGTGCTGGGAGGAGGCTGCAGCCACCCCAAATTTCACCGCAGCTCTGCTGCCAGTCTCAAGCTGCTGCCCAGAGCAGCCCCGCTTTTCCCAGTGCTTGGGTGGAGGAGGGGCATTCAGATGGGGCTGCATCGGGTGGCGCAGGGCTGGGAGTTGGTCTGCCCCCCCTACACCCCTTCTCTCCCCCATCCCCTTACTAGCTGGAGGCAGCTCTCCACACTGCCAGCTCTGCTGTATGCTGTGTTGCGGCTGTGCGCAGCATGGGCATTTATTGGCCAAATTATTGGCCCCGTAGGGCCAATATCTGATATAGACAATTTTCTTCATATTGGTACCAAACCAATATCGGACCTCTAGTAATAATGCCTAAATCTCACTTAATATTTATTTTACATTTCTATAGTTGTACAATTTATTCCACAAATGCTTTACAAATAATATAACATAGGGACACAACTAGTCCAATGCATCCATCTCTGAGTTATGAAGCTGGCAGATCATTGTTGCGTGGCATATACTACAAGAATGGCCAACAACACAATGGAAACCCCCCTTAGTTCTAGGGCATCTTTAATGCCAACACAAGCGAGACCAACTTTTTGGTGCTGTGGTGTCCTCTGAAAAAGTCTCCTCATCCTCTCAGCCAACTTAATGGAAGTCTGTTAGATGCCAGATTGAGATAATACTGCGAGAATTAGAAATTGTGTTTTCAGAAGGTCTCAGAGTCAAAATAAGTGGTTTAGCCCCTTACAGGTCCCCTTTGGCACATCATCTGCCTCAACAAAAACAACACGCCAAAGTGCGGTAACAATACAGACCTTTTGTTTGATTCTAGGCAAATTGGATGGGGGTTTTTTTCTACTTTGAAAAATTAAACTTTATATGAGACTAATCTTTACATTCAAGTTTATTAAAGAGGTGGCAGATTTAAAACATATTTACAGTGCAAATTAATTCAATATGTTTTAAATAATTTCAAAATTATTTTTTCCCTGAACAGTTCAGAGTGAGTGTTGTATTTTTTTTTTTTCTTCAAAAAAAGGAGGCGTCTGCCACCTTGTGGACAACCAAGAGAATTATCTCCTGGAAAATAAGAATTGTTACACTTCAAATACTTGTCAGACTATAGTGAAAAGCATTGAAGTCAGGAAAGAACTTGTAGCTGGAGTTCAGATATTTCTGATTCAGGAAAAGTGCTTTATCAACTAAAGCACTTAAATATTCAGGGTGATCAATAAAGAAAATGCTTGTATCTGTATTTTTGAACTCAGGATATAATCCAAATATCAAATAACTGGGGCTTGCATATTAACTTGAACTGTAATGGAGATGCTAGAAACAAGGGGAAACATTTCAGTTTAGGGGGGAAAGCAATTGCTGGTTTGAGTAATTTACTGAGTTACTCGTTGATGAGGAGACATTCCTAGCTGGAAAACTATGGTAATTAAGTTTATAAAGCTTTTACCTCAGACAACCTAAGAGTTTTTCCATTATTCTAAATTCCAAGTGGAAATAAATTTGATTGGCTGTTCTGCAGAGGAGGACTGCCCAAGTCATAGAAGCCACCTCTGAGTTTAGGGCCCAACCCAGCAACATACTGAAACATATTGTTTAAAAACTGCTTGAGAGTACTTAGCTTCCGGGACCTTTGAGTTCAATTGAGCATCAAGCAACTCTTGGGACCAAGTTCATAGACCATGAGTTCCTCTGGACATGGGCTTTGTCTTCACACATGATTCCAAAGTACCAAGGGCACACCTATGAGAAGATGAATAACTACTTGCCATGAATGGCATGCTGCTCTGAACAGAGGCATAGGAACAGCTCATTGGATTGGCAGAGAAAGGAGTGCCTGATTGCACTTTGCCTCACTTTTCTCACTTTGAATCCACTTTTCTTGATTAGATAGAAATATGCAAACAAAATGTGCAAAAAAATCCAGTGGGCTTGGTGTCATTCTAGTTGTTCATGCCATTCTCACCTCTTTGATAAGGGAATGGTAAAGTTCACAAAGG